GCTGGAAAAAATGAGCTTGCATTGTATGAATATCCTTTCCTGTATTCTCAAAATATTTTTGTTTTTAATTAGTATTCTTAATATGTCAAGTATTATGTTCTGCAAATGTTTATCTCTGTATCTTCAGTGCTTGTGGTGATTACACTATTTGATTTCAAGCAAATGAATAATATATTACAAAAAAAAATCTTGAAAATTATGATTGTATTTCAATTTTTTTTTTTACCTATTTTAAAAAATGTTTGTCTATGATAAAAAAATTTAAAATAAATTGAATCAATTTATTTTAATTTACAAAATGATTTGTATTCCTGATATGATTGATTTATTTTATTGAAATATTTTAAAATGAATTAATAGGAATGAAAATTTATTAATTTTTATATCAAAGTTATAAATCTAAAACTACCAAGAAAATTTTTATTTATACATAATAGGATATCATTTTATATAGTTGATATTCCAAAAGAAAAACGAGGTTTCAAAATTGTAGAAATATAAAATATTTCAAAAAAATAATTTTTCAAAAAAAAAAAATCAATGAACAAATTTTTTTTAAAAAAAAAAATAATTATAAAGAAAAATAAAAATAAATTTTACTGATCAGCAATTAGGAAACAAAAATTTACCAAAAAAATTATATAATATGGATTTTAAATAATTTTAATGCCTTGTTTGAAGTTAAATCTTGGTTTGACTTGAAAGATTATATCCTAAAGCTAATTCATATTCAAAATGAAAATGTAATTTCCATATCTTCATTAAAGTTTTTTTTTTTTTTTTTTAACATTGGCATATTTCTAATCAAGCCTAAAAATTATAGATTCTTTTCAAAAAAAATTAAAATTTAAAATCTCTTAAAAATCATAAAAAAATTACTCCTAGATTATGTTTCAAAAAATTATTTAATAAATTTAATTTGATTAACTGAAAAACTGGACATTATTTAATGCTTAAATTTTCAAAAAACATATTTAAAATTTTAATGTTTATTTATGTATGGTGGCCTGTGAGGTTTTAAGTCAAAAATAGAGACCAAAAAAAAAAAAAAAAAATAAAAAACACCATAAAAATAATAATGAAGAATTAGTATTTATGTTTAAAAAAAAAAAAAATAAAAAATATATTTGTGTATTTAAGAATTTTTCTTTTGGTTTTCTTTTTAAAACTTAGTAGAAATTTTTTTTTTTTTTAAAACAAATTAAAAAATAAAAAAATTTAAAAAAAATTTAAATGATACTTTTGAGTTTAATTCATTATTTTAATTTTTTTTGTTTTTTATCTGTTTAGTTTATTAAAATATTTAATTAATTCAATTTTAGGTTAGACCATTTTTTTTTTTTCTGAATTTAAATTATTAAATTATCTCGTATATTAAATTGTTTAGAATATTTTGTTCTTATCATAAAAAGGTGATAATTCAAATTATTTCCTTTTTTGAACATCCATCAAAAAAAATGAAAAAAAAAAAAAAAAAAAAAAATGACATTTATCTTAGTTTTTTAAAATCCTGTCTTTAAAAAAAATTTATTCTGATTTAACAAACAAGAGATATTGAAAATTTTAGTCAAACATTTTCTTCTTCAAATATTTTTAGAAAAATTCTTTTAATAAAAAGAACTAATCTTTTGCAATTCATTCATTAATGAATAATTACTGAAAATTTTATTTGAATTTATAATTCTCTGAATATTGGCATTTTTTATAGTATTTTTTATTAAAATTTGAAATCAATGAATAATTTTGGTGATCATAAGCTTTTATTAAACCTATTTAATTAAGCTAATATTTTTTTTTTCATTAAAAATTCTATTATTTGAAAAGATGTTATCTTTGTCTTTTTTTTTTATATTTTTTGATCTTTGACCAAACATCATAAAAGGCTAAGTAGTTTAAAAAACAACATAAAAACTTAGCTTTGAAAACAGGTTTTGTTTGGTATTTTTCTGTTATTTAAAAAAAAAAATGTAACACAGAATTTCTGATGAGCCAAAATTTTATAAAAAGTATGGAAGAAAGAATTTTATATGTTTCTTGAAAACTTTTCATGTCAAGGTTTTTTTATTTTCAAAAAAAAAAAATATCGTGAAAAACCAATTTTTATGTTTAAAACAACTATTATCCTTTTCAAAATTTGAATATAAAGAATTAAATTATGAATCCTATTTTTTTATCAGAAGGAAAAATTTATTTCCAAAATGGCATGCCTTGTGGTGAACATTTTGCAACAGTGTTCTTTCAGCATTACTCAATCATAATAAAATCTATAAATCATGCTTTGGCTAAAATTAAAACTTACTGATTGTCTAAAAAAGTGAAATTCTCAAAGATGAATTAAAATTAGTTTTTTTGAATGATCATAAAAGCTACTTGTTTTTTTAATGACTTTATCATTTTCAAAAACAAAATCTAACATAACAACAGATCAAGGTATACCAATTTTTAAATAAATATTTTAAAAAACAAAATTTTAAACATTTTCATAAGTTTTTATCTGTCCATTTATTGGAACACATTTTTTTAGACCCACAAAATTATATTATAAATCCTTGTTAACTGATGTCCATTGCTAAATTTTTGTATCTATCCTATGCTATAATTCTCAAAATGTTCTGTGTGTGTGTGTGTGATTTGATGTTGTTTTTAATCAATGTTTTCATCCAATTTTGATGACATTTTTTTTTTTTCATAGAATAAATTTCTTCAGTGCTGGTTTTGAGTCCAAATTGTTGGTTTCAATTTTCTCCAATACTTCCTGTCCATTATAACTCTTGAAATCACAATGTTTTACTTTTTCTGTTCTTCATTCATATATATTTTCATAAAATCTTTAATTAAAAACAAAATTTTAAATTATTACAATATTATTAATTATTGGAATGAAAGCAGTTGACACATAACCTGAATCCATTCAAATTGTTTAATTTTTTTGAATAATGATTTAGTAATATAAATATCTTGGTATATTTTCATGAAATTGTCCAAAAAAAAGAAAAAAAAAAAAGAGCATAGCATGATGAAAAAGATGCCAAACTTGACAAAAACAAAATTTTATCATCTAAATGTTTATTTATTATTAAGAGGAAAGACCAAAGTTTTTTTTTTAATTATTTTTTTCTTGTTTTTTTCTTTTTTTTAGAATATTCTAAATTTTGATTGAAAAAAAGTTTTTCTTTCTTTTGTATCACCAGAACCAGTAAAATAACATATACAATTTTTAGCACATTTTTTTTTTTTTGTATGACACACATTAATTTGGAAAATCTTGCAAAAATAAAAATAATTGTCAGATGTTAATGAAACTTTCAGAAACTATTCACAAATGATGGAAATTATTATAAATATTTTTTCTTTTATTAAAGTCATGGCAGAAATATTTTTTTATATATTTATTACCTCCCACCATAACTAATTTTATGAAAACTCTAGAAATTCAGTCACATTCAGTTTACTGATTATATTAGTTAAAAGCACAAGGCTTTGAAGAAAGCAAATCGTTTTTTTTTTAATTGGAAAACCTGAAAATAAGCCCTGAATTGTAACATACAAAACTCAATAAAACAAAAATATTATTTACTTTCAAATGCTTTTATTTGCTTTTATGAATATGGACAATATTTTCTGAAAGCAAAAATTTTTTCGATGAAAAATGAATTTTTAATACAGTTATGTTATTTCTTTAATTATTTTAGATTTTTACATTTAAGTTGTTAAAATATTGTAAAATTTGTTGAAAGTTGCATTCACTTTTGTAAATGTCCTTATGAGATAGATCATTTTTTTTTAGCGCTTTGTAAATTGTATCGCTTTTGACCAATCAGAAGACCCACAGTAATTAAGAAATGTAATTTTGTGTTCATAAAAGTCATTAAAATGGCTGTAATTAAAAAATACAATTAAAAGGTCATTTGCAATAAAACGTCATTGGCTGGAGTTAAGCAATCTCTGCTGAATGTCCATTTTTTATTTTCAAATTCTTCATAAGGGTAACACATGTTGATCATTTTTGAATTAGTGTTTTTTTTATACTAATTAAAATTTTGAACACCATCCATAAGCCATTTTCAGCAGCAACATCACTACATTTTTAAAAGTACCATTTATTTCATGTACATATTTCATTGCAATTTCAATTTTGTGAAAATTTGTTTTACAGTTTTCAGTGAGTCATCTTATTTCAATTTTATGAAATTTAATCTCACTCTCAACAGTCTTATTTTAATTTCTTTATAATATATTTTCCATAAAGCATCGTAAACATAAAGGTGAAAGCTAAGTACAAAAAAAAATAGCGCTGAAAGTCTTCCTTAAAAATAACAAGGTAAATAATTTGTTCATTTAAATGTAAATGATTTCACTTCTCTCCATCTGTAGAATAAATTATCCTCATGTAAGCTATCAATACGTCATGAAAATGTCTTTCATCACCTGTCAAGTGATGCTTTGTTTTATTTTCAAATTACATCTTTTTGGTGCAGAAACTGTTAAGCTTGTTTTAAAATATTTTAAATAAACATAATTTCTAACTTTCTTAAAATAAGTTTTGAAAAAATTATAATTGATTTTTAAAAGAATTTCAAACTGAGATTTTCATATTTTTTTTCTTTTTTAAATGGAAAAAATGATTGACATGATTGATTATCTGTCAATTTTTCTGATTTAAAAAAAAAAAAAAAAAAATCAAGATTTTCAATGAAAATTTTGGACGTGCTACGAATGATTAAAAAATGTAAAAAGATACCTGAAAAATATTTTATCTTAGACGATAAAGATTTGTTTTCGTCAAGTTTGGCGTCTCTTTTGTCTCTTTTAGCAATCTCATGAAGGTACCTCTATAAGTCTTATTAATTAACCCATAGTTGGGGAGAGAAGAGGTGGATACATAGATTTCCTGTGGGTATTTGTACTAAGTGAATATAACAAATCTGAATGGAATTTGAACTTGGCCCTCCAATTAACAATTCTGAATCATTATCCATTACACCACCTGCACATCCAAGCTTGCTACACATGGTATTCCCAAGTGGTCACCCATCTAAGTACTGATCAGACTTGGTGTTGTTTAACTTTGGTGATTGTATGGGAATCAGTTTTTCAGTGTGATGGCTGTAAGCTATATGAGTTTCATAAGAATGGTTTCAAGAACATAAAGACTTATCAAATCTGTTGAGAACTAATGGGATAACAAGTTTACTCTTAGAAAACCTCCATGGAACATGCAGCAGCACTTACTGTTAACATCCTGCAACCAAATCACAGAGGAAATCACTAGAGTTTCTTCTGGGGTCTTCATTTCTGATTGTTTTGGAGACAGATGGACGATAAGCAAATTATGAAGTAGGTGGTCATTATTATAAGTTTATTATATAAATGTGTGTATTATGTACATTATGTATCTGGTTTAGATGTTTGTACAAGATGGCAAAATGAGTTATTGGCAATGAAATTCATTTCTTAGCTAATATGTGCGACAAAAAGAAAAGATAGCATGTGGGGTTGATTGATACCCAATTAGTGGCAAACACAGAAAAGAGAGAGAAGATGAGATGTAAAATCTGTGTTGAACAATTGACAGTTGAAATGAGAAATTGCAAATTTGTGAAAGTGTTAATTTGAGTAACAAGTTTTATATTTCGGATTCAAATTTGAAATTGGAATATAATGCACTCTTTTTTTTCATTTTTTATATAAGGAAATTCTCAATTTGTTTTAAAACTTTTGAATGTATTTCTCAAATGTAAAACATAAATTCCATGTTTGGTTTATGTGCCATCCTTTTAAAAGTATTTTATTTTTGGATTGTCAGTAACAGTACTTCACTTTTCCAAGAACAAACTATTCCAGCAGATAGTGCCAGTCATAAGCAAATATTCATTCTGCCTGCAAAACATTTGTGGGGTGGGTGGCATTGTTGTTGTTATTTATTTATTTATTTATTTATTTTGTGTTATCTGTATGTATTTCTTATCCTAGTCTGGCTGATGCCAACCAGGAGGTATGTGAGAAGTCAGTAGTTTCTCTCCCACCACACCGTTCTACACCTCTTTCTAATCTGTCCTTGCTTTCCTGATATATGAACTGAAGAATTTTTTGTCCTATCTCTTGTTACTCTTTGCATCTTAGAGTTGGTAGAAAGTACAGGGGATAGTCTTTTGCTTCTTCTGAGGCTCCTGGTTATTCTATGGAATTGTTTTTTTTTTGCACTCCTTTGAACTCTGTTTAATATTGAATTCTCTCTCTAACTTGGATCATTTCAGCACCAGGTCATGCCTATTTTGCCATTTTCCTCCATTCTGCCTCACCTGGCATATACCGAATATTAACAGGAGGAGATCTAATGTAACTCTGTTGGACTGACACTATTTACTTTCTTTCGATTCCACTGTACTTAAGGCTCTTAATAAGTTTTGCTTCCCATCTGTATGCTTTGAATCCCCATCTTTGTTGGGATGTATTATTGCATGAATTTGTCTAATTTTAATGAACTAGTTTTCTCCCTTCATGACCTTTTTAAATGAGGGCAAGATGAAAGTGAGGTAATACTAGTTTTGCAGTTTATTTATCTTTCTCTTTAATGCTTTCTGGTCTATGCCCTCTGTTGAACAATGTTTTTTATTTAAAGACCACTAGTGAATAAGACATTTTCCTAATTGTAACATTAAATAAATTTCACTAGGAAACACTCCCATGAATGAGATTAATTAGAAATTGATTTTTTTTTTTTTTTTTTTGTTACCTTCAATGTAATTAGTACCTGCAAGCAGTTTGTTGACATCCTAAATTGTGGAATAACTTCTTTCCTAGTCTCGCAGGTGATTTTCTTTTGATGAAGCCTTTTATCTTTTATAATACTTTATGATTACTGGTCTGAGTGTTTATTATATTTTGACATTGCAGAATATTTTCTTAGGTGAAACTAATTGATATTTAAAGGTGCTTTGGATGGTAAAGAATGTAGCTCTTTCATTTAGAATTTTCAGATCGTCCATATGTTTTTATTATTTTTACCAATATGTTTGGACTGGGAGGGGGCTCCATGTGAAGATTATCATTGTTAGGTGGAGGAGGTAAATTTTAGTTAATTCTCTTGGAATGTGAGCTATGTATTAAACTGATGCTAAAATAATTTTTTTTTTTTTTTTTTTTTTTTAAATATAAAATTTGTTTGCAATTTGTCTGTGTTAATTGAAAAATAGCAATTTAAAAGTAGACCATCCAAAGTTTTCCAAATTCATTATTTTCTAATCGTTTTAGAATTTAAAATTTTTGAAAAACAGTTTTCAACTTTGTTAATACTATATCAGCATATTTTTAAAATGCTAATGATTTCTCAGTGGATCATACAAAATCTCTTTTTAAGTTTAAATAATTAATTTAGCTTTAAATTGATACATTTGATAAGACAAAACTACAGTTTTAATTTGTTACCCTAAATATGTTTTAGGATGTGTTAGCACTGGTTAATCCAAACCTGCTATTTTTCCTTATATGATCAATTAAAATAATTTTTACACAATTATTTGCAGAAAATCTCTTGCTTTACATACATTGTATTTGTAAAATTCATTGTTCAATAGTTCTTAGGAAATATTTGAAATTCTGTATTGCTTCTACCTTGGTTAGTAAACTCTGTACCTATTTAATTCAAAATGTTTGCCTTCATTTATGGCAGAAAGAAAACATCTCTTTTATTAAATGCTATGATCTATTCACAGAAACTACAAAAATTTTGTTTAATGTTAAGCATGTCTCAACCTTTGTTTCTTTCAACCAGTCTTAATTTTGTAGTACTCAGGCCTGTGATAGCATTGTACTGAATTTAACAAGTATTAAACAATAAACAATTGAATTTCACTTCACTTCTGAAAGATTAATCAGCTAGTAAAACTTTCTGGCTATTAGTTTCTTTGACAAATAAGCATATTGCTTTTGATTAGACAACTTGAGGAAAAAAAGGGGTTTGATTATCATATAGTAGTTAGATAATTAAATCATGAAAATTGATTTATTTTTATTATAAACTCATCAGTTTGAATATTACTTTCTTTACCCAACCCTCTTTATTTTATTTTTTTAGCAGTGGGCAATTTTTCTGTTGTGCAAGTTGTTGAATATCAACTTGAAATAAACAGTAGTATAAATCTGTTACTGGATGTATTAAGTAATACTGAATACAACTTATTCAAAATAATGCTACTAGTAAATTTTAAATAAAACATTTTAAACAAAACATTTTAAACAAAACATTTTAAACTTGATATTTTCCACCTATTTTTCTTAATATCTAGTTTTAACCTGAAAATCAGTGTTAACAAAGCATTCCAAAATCCTAAATTTTGGTGTCTTTTGCTTCAAAACTTTCAGGCTTTATGTTCAATGCAATTTGACTAGTTTTATTATTTAAATGTTTTAATCATCAAATAGTTTTTATAATTAACCTTACAAATTTGTCATGTCTGTTCCTTGTATTTATCCAGAAAGTTTTAGTATATAGTAAATAACTATCATTGAAATATTACAGTAATTAATTTTTCTTAAAAATAAAGTTATCTATATTTTGAAATATTATTGCAAATGTACCTTTTTTCTATAAATTTTCAGATGAATTATTGTTTTAAGTGGTATTTTTAAAAAAAAACTTAGATTTACTGAATTTTCCAAAATTTCAGAGAGTTGTAAAATATTGATTCTATTCTGGTTTAGTTTAAAACTTAATTTTAAACATTTGTGTCATTAGGTATCTAAATAAAACTAAAAAAAAAACAGCAATACAAAAAATAATAAAGTTTAGTTTCTGGGTTACAATTTTTTACAATTGATATACAGTTAGTAATTAAATCCGTTTTAAACGGTATAGACAATCATACTTTTCAAGCACGCAGCAATGTTATTGCTTACTATTTAATTTTAATTACCTCCCTTTGATCAAGTGTTTGAAAAAATATGTTGGTGATCTACCAACTCAAATTGACCGTCTTTCTCCTCGGTAATTAAATTTGGACTTAAAACCCTTAAAAATTGTCTCTGTTACAAGTCTGACATAATTTCTCTTGCTAAAAATCAATAGTGATTGTTTAATCTCATTTTGTTTCCTATTTTAAAATTTGACCTACTTTTCTCACCAGTGCATGGGACTCATGAGACTGCTTAAGTATAAGACATTTGGGCACAGAGGAAATAAGATTTATTTTGTTGTTGCAATGAGATAAAGTTTATTTTGAAGTAACCAACTCTTGATATTAAATAAACTTAATTTGTTCTTTGCTTTAAAATAGGTTCATGATATATTATAACTTAATATTTGGAGCTGTATACTTGATTTCCTATTCCAGGCTCAACACAGTTTTGATAAAACTTTTACTATTAAGCATATTTTAAATATTCTAGCAATTGCTAACTGCAGATTTTGTAATATTTGACATTCAAGCTTTTTAAGTAGCAAGTTTTGTTCCTACCCACTCCACTTCAAATTCATTTGAATTCAGAAGGGAGGGAAGTGCAAGTATATTTTGGTCCCTGTGTGTGTGTGTGTGTGTGTGTGTGTGTGTGTGTGTATAAGAATTTATATCATTTGCCAGGCCAGGTAAAAAGAAAAAAAAGAATTTCAGTATAATAAATTCAAACCAGATGTTTGTATTTTAATTCTCAGTCCTAATCTGCTAATGAATTTGTATCTCAAACTTGTATGTAGTTTCTATTATTATTATTAATATTAATAATAATTACTCATGAACCTATGGGAAAATGTATTTTGTGACCACCTGTAGAGGCTGTACGCTTTTATTTTTTTTGTCAAGGATGTGTTAGAATTTGCTTTGTGTGGGACAACATTGTAGTTTAGTCTTGTTTCATTGTCTCTGTCCTCATCTTAGTTCCCCCTCCCTCATTGTTATCAGTTGAGGTTGGCCAACAGGTCATCATCAGGCACACTTGTCCCACGTGTGCCTAACCAAGCAGCTTGTCTTATCAAATATCCTTTGTTCTGTTTTGCTACCCTCCAGTTTTCCCCATCTGCCCCCAATAGTAAGAGCCCTTGCCTATTTGAATCTATTGTGACAATGCTTCTTAGTTCATCTCATCTCTACCTGTCTAGCAGA